CACTGAATGGATCGTAGTCGAGATATAAATTTCAATTTCGATGGTTTAATAATTTTGGTTGTGTATGTACAACGAAAAATACACGGTCGAAGAAGAAACTTTGATTCTCTCGAGTCCAATCTAACAACTTATTCTTATCGCTGAATATTTCTCTATTCTTTCCTAGTTTCACTGGTTGTTTTCGGTGAAAGCGATTCCTTCAGCTCGTTTTGGGCTATTCTCGATACGCGTTAGATCTGTTTTTTTTTGTTTCCGACGACGAAAATCCTACTTTTCCGCATTTTTATCGGAACGAAGAAACATTACCCATCGAAAGTATGATCGGCGAATTTTGATGAAAATCGACTGACTTTAGTTGGTAGAATTATCGTTTCGAAATATGATTTAAGGAGAATTTTTGGATCTCTTCTAATTCCTTTCAATTGTACTATCAAAAATGTTATTTTCCTTTGAATCTTGAAAGTTCTTCGATCTGTGATTAAAGATTCTCAGAGCCCTTTAATCTCTTAGGAACCCTCGCATTTCTATAATTTAAACGAACTCTTAACAGCAACAAAGTCGATCGTTCGCGTATCCTTCGAACGATCAAGATATCTTAATGATATAACCAATTTTATAATTTCAATGACTTTGTCTATGTATCTATTTTCGCGGAAATAGTTTAAGATCGTGGACGCGCTGCCGACAAAGTCGAAGAGAAAGAAGAAAAAGATCCAAAACGAGCTAATGGAACGCGACTGAGCTGTCGAGTAATTAATAGCGCAGCAAGCGATACGAGTAGCTGGATATCGAAAAATCGTGTCGCTCGATCGCGACTTCGTGCATGCCGTTCTATCTTTCTTCCTTTAACACATCCCTTGTTCTTTTTTTTAGTCTTCCAGATTTCTCACAGCTTCAGTGGCGTAATAAGTAAGTTTTTTTTTCGTCGTTTTCATACAAAAGTAGCAAAAGCTTGGCCGCGAGTGCCGAAGAATTATACTTTTTAACACCGCGACGATGCTTTTTCTTTCCGAAGCGTCGTCGCAATTCTTAAGTTCCACCTATTTTTTTCTTTTTTTTTCTTTTTTAATAGAGTGAGGTTCGAATGAAAATTTGTCGACGACAGAACGTTGCGTCGTCACGCGCGACATCGACGATAAACGCGCGTTCACACGAGTAATCGCTTCTTGTGTATTTTGGTGTGTTCGGTTTCACGCGTTTGTTGTACGATATTACTTTGCTTTTTTCGGGCCGAAATACGGACGCGTGGAATCGCGTGGATCGTCGCTCTAATTAGCTAGAAATTGTTCAACACTCACACGTTACGGTTAATAACACTTACGCACACATATATACGCAGATCACGTTCATTCACTCTCTATCTTGGGCAGTACAACTATTGTTTTTTTTTTTTAATTGTAAAATGATATGTTACGTTAAGGTCAAGCGAATACGTTGCCCTGGGAAAGGCATTCGAGAGCCTTCGTTTTCCTCTTTTTTCCACGTCGGTAGTCACGGTTCGCGATTCAGTTCGAATTACGCTCGATTCAATAATCCGCGGATCTAATGGGATCTGATGAAGACTCGAAAGAAGGATCGATGACGACGAACGATTCCCCCAAGAAGAAGAAGAAGAAGAAGAAGAAGAAAAAGTACAAGGTGACGAAGAAGAATCGTTTTCTTTGGGGAAGAACCATTTTTTCTTGGGAATCGAAGATACTGGATTTAATTCCCATTTTTTGCCACTCACTTTGCTCCTTTCCTTTTCTAATAAATTAATTATAATAACGATTATAACAAAGGGCAAACGAATCTGTGCCGTTTCATACTTCTCCTCTCTTTTTTCCTTTTTCTTTTTTGCGTCATCGCTCTCTCCGAATTCGCAAATGTAAGGCCTCGCATGGATTTTACAACTTAGGCTATACTTTCCGTCGTTTCCGAAGATCACAAAATGCGCGTCTCTCGTTTTATTTTTTCTCCGTGTTTTCCTTAAAATCACGATGACTCTCGTTTAGAAGGGAACGCTTGCACAGACGAATTGACTAACTCCTTTTACCTTTGAAACCACGCTTCCCCGCTACCAATGTAAAACAATTTGTTTTAATAAATTTATTATATACATATATATATATATATATATATATGTATATATATAACTATGTATATAGTTCAAGACACACTTAAGAGAGCATCCGAGGAGATTCGATAAAACCTTTTTCACATTTTTCTATACCGACTATCAGGACAAAAATTATTCAGTCACCATCTATAATGAATATATATATGTATATGTATATATACATCGACGATACTCTAACGAGTCAGAAATTCGGTGATATGTTCATAGATCGACGAGTTCACGGATTTAAGCGGTTTACACACTTTTTTGTTTTTTCTTTTTTGTTTTTTTTTTGTTGCACTAACAATCATCCGGAGAGCGTTTACCGAAATCGTTCCATTCAGAGCCAAATTTCTGGCCAATTTCACACGGATTACTTTCCAGGATAATTGCACTACCATCTCGTAACGGTATGAAAACGGCCTTCCTTCTTTTTTGAAACGTTCTCTCGATCTTCGTAAAATCGTTTTGTGAGATTTTTTTCGTAAAAGAAAGTTCTTCGCTTTAAGGTAGATCGAATGATATTAATAAGTACCCTTGTAGCTGATACACGCGTTAATTAATCTTCTCGAAACAAATTTTTAAAAACAAAGACGAGAACGAAGAATTCCTATCTTTTTTCTTTTTTCCTGTGAAGATTTTGTTTCGTGCATCGCTGACTCTCTCCGTCTCCGATTTTATAGTTACATTTACAGTAAAAACAATATTAAAATATACATTCATCACGGCCGAAAGGAATTAACTTCTCTTTTATGTCCATTCACTTTTCCTTTCCTTTTTGAAAAGATTGATAAAAGACAAAAGAACGCTGGATGAGAATTCCCGTTCTTTTTTTTTTTTGCTTCATTTTCATAATGAACGACGAGTAAACGCTTTCCAGGACAATTATCTACCTTTAAACGACCTGCTCGGCAAGCTCTTAACGATCTAACGATATGTATCAGAAAAGTGACAACCCTGAAACCTCGCGTTACATACTTTCGTTTCTTCGTCTCTCTCTCTTTCTCCTTGTTTTTCGTTCCATCTTCGATTCAGCGACATGTTTCCTTAGAATTGGAAAAATCATCGCGGCATCGCCGAAAGCTTCGAGCCGATTTTAAAAGTTGCCCGTTCCATTTTCAATTGTTTCACCGAGCCTTCAGATTGCTGACACACTTCTTCCTGAGTGATCTCGTTGCCCGACGAGCTGCGTTTACCGTTTCCAGCGTCAAGGGACACCTCGTCTCGCTCTGAATTTTTGCGACGGTCCAGTTCTCTGCAAACGGACCGGCCAAGTTCTTCTTTCAGGTCAGGCAGATTTTTATTTCGCGGTAAGAAAGCCAGATAGAAAGGCGGTTTGTTCCGCCTGGACCTTCAAACGACACTGCTTGCCCGGCAAAAATTCAGTAAAAAGAGGAAAATTTGTCGCGGTCAAGCTACTTTCTTAAGTTACAAGTTATAAAGAATAATTGTCCTAATAATTTGATTTAGTCGTGTTGCGTCGATATTAGAAATCGATCTAATATTTGTTAAGTAGAATTTTTAACGCATAGCAATAGCACGAATAGCGATTCGTATAATAATTTTGTATATAATGAAATATATAACTCTTCGTATAATTCGTTAATGGAATTTCGACGACAGTAGAGGTTATTATAATATATAATTAAATAGAATTTTCTTCATAGTATATACACGCTAGCTAATTTTAGAAAGAAATTGGTCAAACATAAAGGTTCTAGAATGATTCACGGAAATTCGATTCCTTTATATATAGGATCGAAAAATCCTAAATTTCGCTAAAAATCATCAGAAACGAACTACAAATAGATCTTTTTTTTCTGAAAGATGCATCTTCGTCGAGCAACGAGATTTTCAGTCGCTTCGTTATTTTTCGAACGAGTGATTCAGGCACGATCGCGAGAAGATCGACGACGCTAAAGACATCCGTAACTCTCATCTCGACACGAATACAATCGCGCACGGAATAAAACTGTGCACGACACTCTCGTTTTTCCTCCCCTCGGAGTGTGCTTTTCTTTTCTTCTCGGCTCGTGTTTTCATGGAAAATAGAAAAATAAAGGAGCGTTCTGACGCTCGAGAGCAATTACGACGGTCGGCTCATGTCGCTGACGAAGTGTCTTTTGAACGCCAATCGTGAAATTAGCCGTTCCACAGTGTGAATTAGCTTCACCGGCGATGAATTCTTCGCTTTCATCGTAATTTCTCGCCATTGACGTGCACACGGTTCGGTTAACACTCTCTACCACTCTCTATTACACCTTTACACCACTTAATCACCACTCGCCACTATTAATTGCGGATGCGTATAATAAATGCCCAGTGGTTGTTCGACGAGGATCATATTTAATCAGCACGATGATTGGCTGTGAACTCTGAGAAAAGAAGCTGTCGATCGACTCGGGAAGCCGTTCGGGCGATAAAATTCGAGGAATCTACGAGAAAAATATGCCATTATTTCCATCGCGCTCTATACACAGAGGAGTATTCTTTCGATCACCGTTGACGAACTTTCTCGATCGTTTTCTCTCGCTTTCTTCTTTAAATAGTCTTTCTCGTTTACCGTATGCCGGCGAAATTTTTCCTTCGTTCTCTTTCCGCTTATTCCTTCTCAACCCATTTTGTACGGGATAGTTAACGTGGATTCTATCAACGGGACGATCGTCGAGCAGAGAAATATTAATTAGAGGAACACGCGTCGATGCGGCAGCTCTCCGTCCTTCGAGGAGAAAAGTCTAAGTAGAAAACGACGAGGCGATAGAAAACTATCAGGCAGGCTCGAACAGCTTTGGATCAGTTAAGAGTTTTTAATTTGAAGAAGCGTCTTCCTGTAATTCAGGACTCTGCGCGACTATTCTCCTTCCACCATCCTTTTTTTCTCTTCTTTTCTTTTTTTTTTGTCTTTTTTTCTTTTTTCTCTTTTCGTACTTTAATGCGTATGGTATACGTACAATACGTAATATGGATTTACTGGGAGAATAGGGAGAGGGGGGAGTTCGACGTTTGAAATCGGGACGAGACGAATAATACACGGTACGAATTACAGCATGACTCGACCAACGGGAAGGCACTTGGGCAAATTACGTGCCGAGTTGGCCGTCGTATCTAGCACGCAGGGCACACACCACCTTCGTATCCTCGTTTCTGTCTATCCGCGCCACTACAAAGACAGATCGTTTTAAAAGTTACTTTTTTTTCTTTTTATCCTTATTACGAGAACTTTAACTTTCTTCCCTCTACTGCTTAATCCTATGATATGTTCGCATTCGTTATGTATATGTATAAGATTATTACGTAAATTAACACAATCATTCTATCGATCATTCGTTCATACCATTCCCTCTTTCTCACACTGACACGCTATTTCTATATTCGTATTTTCTCTCTTCGTTCCCACTCACGCTTGTCCGATTCACGCTTGTCGTTCATCGCCACTCTCGTCTAGGATATTAGACTCTCCTTAACAAGATACATAATTAAATGTATATGCTCGCCTTTTCGCGACGCGCCAATGATAAAACATAAATACACGCTTCTTAGGGCACCTTTGGTATTAAGCTTGATGTACTCGTCTTCGTCTCTTTTGTATCTCTATATTATGCAATTTCGTCTACGAGCCACCGCGTCTGCCTTCGCTCTTTCGTTTCAGTTTCGTTCTCTTCTTCGTCGGACGTTGTTCTCCACGCGAATCCCTCGGTTCGTGGTTCGCGAGCACGCGAGTTACGCGACACGAGACGAGTCACGCCTCCGTCGAATTACATCGTCCCGGGATTAATGGACGCGATTCGAGTTTGCTGGCAATTCTCGTACGAAACGGAGATGTAACGAATGCGTTACGAGTCGAATCGGTATATCCATACGTACGCTTCTTCAGTTATTTATAGATACTAGGATAGGATTTCTCTCGAGTTTTCTCTGGCTGCGTCACTTTTAATCTGTTAACTGGCGATCGGCTGGATGGTTGCTTTTCAAAATCTTCGATAATTAGGAAATATATAATTCGGTATTTTACTTTCACGAACAAGTTGCTTTCGATACGAATGAACTTACTTTTTCTTGTATTTTAAAAAAAATATATGTATATACATATGTATATATATATATATAAGTACTTTGCTTTAACTCCATGCTTCGCGATTCTTTTTATTTATGCTTACAGGTATGTTTAACTTTGCTCGTTCGCTTTTCACTCCGACATAATCGTTCCGCTGCGTACTTTAGTCGAATCGTGTTGCCACTTTTCGCGTTTTCCTCTTCCAATTGTTGTATTACGCGTACGAATTTACGTTTCGTGGTCCTCGATTTTCTCGATCGAGAAAAGATCGTAACTTTTATCTCGCGTTTATTTATTACGCGTCGCAATCTCGCGAATATGGACGAACGCCGTGAGCCAAGGAGTTAAAACGATACCGTTCGTTGCTGTTCGTTAAAATATCAAACTGTTTCTTCGTTATTCTATCCCCGTCGTTTTTCTCTTATTACCTTAAAAAAGTAAAATAGATATTCGTTCTCTATACTCTCCTTCTCCTCTATTACACTTATCAATTTTTTTCTATACGAAACAGCAAAATAGAAATTCATTCTCTCAACGTTCGAATAGATGGGCAATGTCTTTCCAAACGTTTACGTTCGTTTCAACAAACGATCCAGTTAACAGGTTAAAGAGAGCGTGCTACAACAAAACTACTCTGTCTCTCCGGGAGTAATTGCATCAACCTGCATTATACAATAAATTTCCAACCCGTTTCGTTTCTCTTTCCTCTTCCAAAACAATTTGCTCGAAAACAGCGCGGGGCTCGATTTTCCTAAAAGAATCTTTCGCGACTGTGGACTCTGTATGTTCCTCCGTGTACGTGTGAACAATTATTTATATATATGCGTGCGCGTGTGACTTCAACAGTGCCTTCCTGCTTTTACGCTTCTCTCCTCTCTTTCTGTATGTATGTATGTATGTATCTAACGTATGTATATACGTGTGTTGTTCGTGTATCTGTGTATCCGTGTATGCGCGTAGATGCGTATATGCGAAAGAAAATGGTGTCACGAGTGTCGAAATCGCAACGTGCGACTGCCTCTGCGTAGAAATTCGCTAGAGCGTTACGACGCTTCGCGCGAACTCGCACCGACGCGACGATTCTTCCGTCTCGTTTTCTCGCGTGTCTTTCGTGTTTCTCGCGTGTGCGTGTGCGTGTGTGTGTGTGTGTATATGTATCGTGTCTCTTTCCTTCTCGTGTATTCTTCTCGTTTCATCTTTTTTCTTTTTTCGTATTTTTTTTTTCTTTTCTTCTATTCGTGTCTCTCGCTTCGTCGTCGTCGTTGATCGCAATCAAGACTCGGTGGAAAATAAATAGACAAGGTAGTACACGGCTAATCGAAATAGATCGATAAGTTAAGTCGTTAAAAAATATATATACCTAGGAATATCATATATACGCGATTATTTTGGGCCCCCCGCGAGTCGCGAATCTAAAACGCCGTTGCTCCGCGCAATTTATAAGAATTCTTTTTTTTTTGTTCCGTTTATTCTTCGTTTCTCTCTTTCCCCTACTTGTCGTGGTGCTGATTTTCGCGAGACGAGGCTCGAACCATACACACGCAGACACACCCCTGCCTCGTCTTTCGTTAATCCCCGATCTTTCTCATTTTCTTCCTCTATATGCGTGTTTCTTTGTATCTTTTCCCCCTTTTATTTTTTATTGCGTGTACGCGAATGCTTACTTTCTTGTTTCTATTTCCGTTACTCTGTTTTTCTGTTTTTTTCATTTTTGTCGCACGTGCTTTTTACTTTCTCTTCCTTTCGATATATTCCCACCCCATTTTAGTTTCTTTTCTCTCTCGGTTTCCCGTGATTATTCCTGCGCTAGCATATTGCCTCTTCCGTCTTCGCAACGATTTCTCGAGCAACTCGGTCGATTTGCTCTGGAAACCTGCCGAACCGTTTGTCGTGGATTCGTTGTTCGTCGATGTTTTCTTCGTTACCATTGCGCAAACAACTGAATCCGGGTCTCTTGACGATCGTTGCATTCCGGGGTGTAAGCACGCATGGTCTTCCCTCGTTCCTCTTACATGCCGTTGATGTCGATCTTAAGGTTGCCCGTTTTCTTCTCTCTTTGATCCCTGCAAGCATCATGAATTTAATTAAAGTACGCCCACAGAAAGAACGCGAGAAAGGCACATGGATAAATTGACCAATTGACTCGCTCCAAATATTCCGTAGATATCGCCTAAAGCTCGATCTTTCGGTAGATTTTCCTTAACCGATCTCCAAAAGACCGAATAAGATTAAATCTCCGTCTTATAATTAACTCTCGACTGGTATCGTTCAGCCATTTCGGACCACAACGATTCATAGCTGGATCGCTTGATCTTCGAATTTTTTATTTCGTTTGACTTTATCGTACGAATAAAACGAAGAATGCAAAGTACGAAGCAAAGTAGAATATCGTAAACTTTATCGATCCAACGTAAATTATTATAGTCGTTTACAAGCCAACGTTACTATCCAAGGGTTAATCTTCAAAATATCGAACAAACGAAATTCATTTGTTCCACGAATATAAATATAGCTATGCTTTAAAGGAGGATTAAAATAAAATAATACTTTCAACGAGTTCCAACAACGAGTTTAAGCCGATAAGAGACGGTAAAATCAAGCACGAACGGAAATAGTACGAGTTCTGCTTACTCCGCGCCCTATCGTTTTAAATCGTTCGTGAAAAGCAAAAGAGAGATAGAGAAAATAAAAGAAGAACGAGTAGGACGGGATACGAAATTGTTGTCGGCGTTCGTTCGACGTGAAATCGGAACGGATGAACCAAGTATGAAATGAGCGTTCGCTCGGCCGTTCATCGCGCCTCGTTTGTCTCCATTCCGCCGCTTTCACGGTTTTTGTCCGCGATACCTCGCTGATTTACAGCCGCGAGGAGGATCGTTCGGAGGTCGATCGCGCATCGCCGTGCGTTTTCCAAAATCGCCAAAGTAAAATCAAACCGTTATTCTCTGAAATCGACCAATTTCTACTCGAGATATTTCTCCATTATTTCTTTCTTTCCGGTTATAGGTACAATATGCCAAGGTGCTTTGGAAACAGAAGGTCGTCAATTTTTTACGCTCTCGTTCGACGGTTTGCGAAGAATCTTCGACGTATGGTTTAGCTGGGAAAATACATTTGTTTTTTATTTAAGTTTGTACGAATTTGTATCCTTTATTATCGAAATATACGTTGAATCCACGTTGGTAAGTGGAATTTTGAAATTTTATACGCGCATACATATAGAAGGTTCTTGGCGAATAAGGTTTTGTACGTAGACGTTTATTAGTTTTCGTTTTAATTTTCTCGTTTATAAGACAAACGTGGAATTTAAAATTTACCTGACAGATTCGTCTTTTCCTTATAGTAAATCCTCTTATCATCTGTACAAACTCTTCGTAAATGCGATTGAAAATATGCAGGTTATAAATTGAAATATCTAAGTCACTGATATAATACGCATACATATGCAGTAATTTCAAATATTCTATCACGAATAGACGTTATAAATTCAATAATTTAGTCAAATTCTATGATAAAAAATAGAACAAAAATCGGTTAATTCGATCGATTTTCTTATAAAAGAAGAATATTATATCGTGCTACGTTTACAGAAAAAAAATCATTTTACGTGGCTGATACGATGTTACATGGCGTTACGTCTATTCGCGCGTAATCGATTCTATTTAGAATACGTCCGGAAATTAACCACAAAATTCTGCTTCGTTTTCCCATATCACGATGTATCCACAGGTAAAATTCGTCCGCTCTACGATCACACGCGTAAAACATCTTCGTCGCAACACCTTATCAATGTCCTTCACGAATCGCCTCTTTTCTTTCAAAAAGCTACCGATCCTTTCTCCAAAGCACCGTGCACAATTCAATTACCGTGAAACAACCTTGCTCGTATCCTTACGTTTGAATCGACAATCGCAAAATCGACAAACCGAAGACAAGCCGTTAATCGTGGCTGTTAGTGGTCGTAGTCAGCTATGATCGCGGCTACGAAAACGAACAGAACAGAAATAAACGCTCGTCGAACATCCGGTTTTCGAGAGGTCGCGCGACAAGTTTACCGATTCACCACGAAGCTGTTGGTCGTCGCGTTTTAACGAATCCGTCATTGTCCCGCGGAACGAAAGCAAGAGACAACCTACATTTCATCCCTTTTCGCCCTCGTGAGCCTCTTCCCACGGTTGACGAAGAAGAGACGCCTTGCCATTGAGTAATCTACGTACCTCGTTAGGCCGTGGCTGCATCCGGACTGAAAAGCTCTCTCTTTTTTCTCTTTTTTCATCTTTCTTTTTCAACGCCAGCTTTCGGCGATCCTTGGTCGTGGACGAAGGAACGAAAGAAGATACAGGACGGTCGCGTCGCTTTTAATTCACGTCGAAATCACGGAGAAAGGACAGAGACGGACAGAGATTTACGGTCGCGTATAAAAATAAGTGGACGAGATGGTGGAAATAGCTGTCGATCGAGTTTCGTTAAATCCGGCTCGTTTACGCAAAAATGTTATTAATTTCGGTTACTTATTAAATAATTTATTTACTACGAAGATACAGAGGGCGAGTCATAAATGCGTGGTCGTACTTCGATGGACGACGAATGTGCACACCGAAGTGAGTGAAAAATGTCTTACGAATATACGTATGTCCTACATACCTCGGTTTGCGAGCGATGCGTTGTGCATCGACACGCGCTACCGCCTGCCTTAAAGCCCACGCTACACGTTGAAACATGTTGCGAATGTTGCGATGCATGCATCGACGCTTAGATTTCACGAATTCTGCGTCAGTTTCTATTTATTTCCGCGTTACCGATCCTTCTCAGTCAGTGGCCCGATACCAACGTCGAAACGCGTCTTTCGAAATGTCAACTCTATCATTATTCTGATTGACGAGAGGTACGTGGATTATCAAAGATGAAAATTACAAAGAAATGGACGAAAAAATGGTTAATCGAGTGAAACAGATTTTCCGAATACGCGCCGTTAAAAGAACTAAAAGCCAGTGAACCGAGCGATTAAGCAGAAAATATTTCTATACGGATGATTCTGATCTTCGACGTCCGTTGGATAAAGTTCGTTTAATCGAACGGAAAGAGTTACGAAGATATAAAATTTATTACCGCAATTTCACTGCTATTATCGAAGAATTCGACGATTCCCGAACCTTCTTGAACGCTCGAAATAAATTAGGAGCCTTCTCGAAGATTCCCCAGGGATTCCTTTCGAAAGGAAATTTATTTCCCACGGAATTATATTTGAGAACCTGATTCATGCATCGATACGAGTTGGTTTTGATACCGATACGCATCTATATCGTAAGCTGTATCGTGGAACCTGGGGTGTCGATGCATCGCAATATGTTTCAACGTGTAGAGCTCCCTTTGCATTGAGTTTCGTACTCGCTGGAAAATGTCAGGTATTCATCGAACACTCTCAAATCCATTTTATATCGTTTCTCGTAGATCGTTTACCTGCATTGTTCGCTTACGTTGAATACACGATAGATCTTAAATAGCCCAGAAACAGAAACCTAATGGATTTGTCTTCGCTCTACCTGTTTGCAAAGGCGCTATTAAAGAACGTTCTTATCGTAAGCAGGAAACGGGGCGAGCAATTCGAATATTTTTATCAATCAGCCACTACTACCGAAGAACCAAGGGTTCCTTCGGACTCACCATATATATCGTCGATATTTCCTCCACTAGATGGATCGATGTATATCGTCACTGCATTGTGATCGTTAATATTTATCGACAAATCGCAACGACGTTGAGAACCTTGAAATATCGACGATATCGTTGATCGTCCAAGGGCATAAGACGTTCTTTTTACTTATTTTAACGTGTAAATTCAACCTTCTTGAAATACGGACATGTATTTACGACTCACCCTGTATAAAGCTAGCACCAGTTCGATGGAACTTTATCGATATTGCTTCAACTGCCTGTCCACTTATTTCTGTCGCCGACTGTATATAGCAAGGGAGACAGAGACAAGGAGCGAGAAAGCGGTTCTAACGCGTCGGATATTCTCCTTCAGCAGCCACGTCCGTCTTGGTCGCGCCGCTTCGAAGGCGTCTCCGTTCCGGTTTTAGGCGAGATGAATTAGCGACGACGCGTTTCGTTGCAACGTTGTTGCCCAGCCCCCAAGCAGATTCTCTATCGATCTCCCTAATTTCACCGAGGGGAAGGTCGGGCAAACTGGCCTGCTTTTTTAGACAACGGACTTGGTCTCGCTCGATCGAATCGTATATTCGCGAGGATGATGCGTTGCTTCCGCGACCTATATTTTTGGCATTGTTGGTTGGATGCCGTTCTAGTTCTAGTTCTCGTATATTACGCTGTACGTTAGCTAGTAGCTCCGGTTAAGACAATTACAGGGTAATTTTGTTCTTTGCACTTGCGTTATTTAGAATTTGCGTTATCTAGAAGTTTACGGTTTTTTTTACGGTTACGGTTAAAGTTACGACTTTATACGATTCAACGAAATTAAAAGGAAGGCTTTAGATTTCGTTTAACAAGTTTCTAACGATGACGTATTTGTGATATAGCATTTTGTCTGTAATTCTAGTATCTTGTGGCTCTAATTTGGGTGGTTGATTAATACGTATAAAGTTGAATTGTTCGTGTACAAATTGTCAAAATAAAATTTGTTCCCAACTAAATGTTTATTAAATTTGTTCTCCTGTTGAAAAATAAGAAATATCAAGTATCAAGTACTGTGAGTAATTGTAAGTACGATTGGCAAGAAAAATGGTTAATATTTTTGTTTCGAGTTATAAACGATCTCTGTATCGCGAATGCTGTTAAATTAGGGTCGTAGAGAGCAAAGAAAAGAGAAAAGAGATCGCGAGCAATCCGGATGCTATACGTCTTGCACGATGATACGAGAATTTATCGTAAGACCACGATGATGTACGATACTTTGCTTTAGAAGCGTGCCACGCGTAGATTCTTCACGATCACCGATTCCACTCGTATTATAGTTTCGACTTCCTCCATTCGATTACTCGAGGAATTTATCTTTACGAATACAAATCGAAATACGCGGTCTTTACATTTCTCCTATTTACTTTTTCCACGACGATTACGAGAATAAATAATGATTAAATAATTAGTACCAGCGAAGTGGAACGACGTTTAATAATCAAATATTTACGCTGGATACTTTTACAACAATGTTAAAAAATGTTTCTCCAACGTGTATTTCTTTCTCATATTAGAACGAATTTAAATAATTTCCTGCTTTCTTACTATTACGAGGATATATATTCGCGTTAATTATTTATTTTCATACGTAGGTGTTTCACAATTTTTCGTAATAAAATTCCATGCCGTCGTTGTTTCTTTGTAACAGGGATGTATTGCAATATCGCGATAATCTGAAAATATTCGTACCTAAAGAAGGTTTAAAAGCATTAAAGTCGTCCTATTCTAACGAACTTTATCCATATTAAAAATGTCTCACGATCTTACGGCTATCTTAAAATTACAATAACTTTACAAGAAAATCTAAAGGTGTATTCGTATCGTACGTGTATTTTTCTTAGTTCTTGTTAATAGAATTCACCTGTCTCGTTATTCTTTTGCAATTAGTCATCGTTTCACAGTTATCCGACCTTCCCCCGAGAATCTCCAGCAACAAGACCTCTACGAAAAGCGCGGCAGGATACGGTGCAAGGGTGTCGTATATCAAAAGACCACGTTCAGGGAGGAAAATACAAAAAAAAAAAAAAAAAAAAAAGGAATATAAAACAGACAAGAGGACGGAGCAAAAATGAACGAGTAAGTACTATGCGTCTCAAGCAACACAGTGAAAGACCGAGCAGAACCGGAATGAAAATCGACAACGGGAAACGAAGGACGTGAAAATGATAGAGTTTCCTATTACAATTCTCTCATATCATTACGTGTCAAACCATTTTCTGTTTGAGAAAATCATTAAAATTGAATTTAATCTGTTTTGAATGAAATATCTTATCAGGAGACGATCTTTGTATTTTTGCTTTTTAATATAATGCTATTTTCAAGTTTGTTTAAATAGTATTGTACTTAGCATTATACGGTAACACTGCTATGATGTGATCGATATAATAGCACTGTTATAATACTATTTTATAAACAGTGTTACTTTTTCAGCTTTCTTCCAAGTATGTATACCAAGTTAATTTTGAAACTACGTGCATAGACCCATGTAGATCATGCAAAATCATCGAAGACCACGTAGAATCGCTATAAGATATTCTCATCGAAACAGAATAAGTTTCGTTCGAAAAACTTCTTCGATCAACGAAATAGTCCGAAGGATCGAACGCCTTAAAACGTTCAAAGTATATAGTAAAAGTTATAAGTAAAAAAGTAAAATCTTCCAAATAAAAACGACAACGCAAAAAAGGAACAAAACCAAGGATACGACAAACGAATCTGCGTAGAGACGATCCAATAACCTCGAAGAGCAAACGTCGAACAGAGTCAAGAGAGACAGAGAAAAGAAGAAAAAGAAACAAAGGAAAGAACAAAAAGCAGAACGTGGAAGAAAAAGTTAGAGATCGGCAAGTTGTTGTGCACGATCCATAGGCGATTAGCGGCAAATAATAATTGGCAATTGGCGATACTAGTGGACTCAGCTAGCTCGCGATGCGTCCAGCCATCGATCGCGATCGAGGGATTTACGTCCGATCGATCGTCGCGCGTTTTCTACTGCCAGGAGACACCGTGCGACGTGTCTTACCGACAAAGTTATTGATCGATCTTTAGATCGATCGAAATCGAACTGTCAGCTAATCGATTGCGAGTCTATCGCTGAGGCCACTGTACTGTAGGGAGCTGTGGTAAAATGCCCCTGAGAATTATCGGGAAAGTGGAAAAATATTTACAAATGTCGTTACGTGCTGTTATGCTATTGATGTACGGGTTGACACTGAAATGGCATCGTCCGGAAAGGGATGATTCCTCGTGAAAGGAGGTGATCGAAGAGAACAGAGTACATTTTTATTACATTTTTATCGCGTCTCGAATAGCAGGTGTCTTCGAGAAAGATAATCTACTAAAATAGGTTTTAATATGAGAAGCGTTGGGACGCTTGTAGATACCTTTGAGTGTATATTGTGTGTGTATTATATAAAACATTTTGAAATTTCATTAGAATGACACGCGATTATTGTAATTATGTTGGTAAGTTTCGAAGGAAATTTGAAAGAACACGATATTTAATACTCTTGAGTATACATCTCATAGAGACTACAAAAGTATTTAAACAGTCAATTATAAATTACGTTGATAAGCCTTATCATGTTCATCTTATGCGTTTAAGATGGTTGTATACTAATTTTTTTGCCGAATATATATGATTAGTCGTGTCTTATAACGTTAACGAAAGTTTAAAACGTCTTATACATAACACGATATACGTATCGAAGTTCTTTATGATGAGCGTCGAAATACTTTCGTGAGTCACTCCACATAGAGAATTATTTCTGTATTTAATTAGAACGAAGGAGTACGTAAGGAGAGATAAACACAGAAAAGAGAAAATACGCTTCCATCTACGATACGACGATTGCCTTTACTCCGAAGAACCAAAGCGCTACGCGCGGGACATTTACTCTGTGCTCTTAAACTTGCTTTTGTTCAAAAAACCATCCCGTTTCCAATTCTGCCATGATTACCAGGTCACCGTAAAATGCGTGACAGGAGAGCAAATGGAGGCAACAGTGACACATCCGGTCAAGCCTGTCTCGATGGTTCCTACTTTATAAAAGGAGAGAGGGAGCAAAAGTAGCGACAAGATCCTCGTTCCTTCCAGAGGCATTTCGTCCAACTCCCAACGGTAATACTACAATGTCCGGCAACGAAAACGCAGATCTGTGCTTCGTGCAGTTTCATTGGAATCTTCGACGGTTCTTCGTTGATGGATCGAATGGTAAAACGAGATCGTAAAAAAGAAAAGTGGTGCTGCGAGGGAGCGAGGAGAACGAAACGGTATCGAGTGATAGACGAGGATCGACCGAAGGGACATCGATGGCCCATAAAGAAATTCCTGATGCCTAGCCCTCGGTCGGAAATCGTAAGGACGAAAAGGAAAATAGCGGGATAAGAACGAAAGAGAAAATGCAAGAGAATATTCGCGATGATCGCAAGGGTGTCGTTGATCAACGAGATAAGGAGTCGAGGTAGGGGAAATATCTTGACAAAAATCGAGATAAGAATCGAGATAACGCAAAGGATGTGTCGCACAGGGTCGCTGCGTTTTCGTCGGGATGTGTACAGGATGTCTGTAGCGGCTAGCGTAGCATAAAATGAAACCTACTTCGATCCAGAGATTTGTAAAGCCCACCTCGGCCATTTTTGACTTTGCATATTCGATTCGTATTGCTCCCCGGTCGGAGGAGAGGAGAAAGGATCCTTGGAGAGTGGCCATCGCCTGGGCCGCGTAGCGAACGTCTTGGTATTCGACAAAGGCCACTGGCGACCCTCCCTTCGTGTGCATACGAAGCCGGGAGAAACCAGGAAAACTGTGCATAAATAAGAGAAGCGTACAATACGTGCTCTAGTTAGTTATGACAGACGGTACTCTGGTCAAAAAGAGAAGGGCCTCTGTGTGTGTGTGTGTGTGTTTACGCGTGTGTTCGTTCGTCCATTTCCATGTTATTGCCATGTCGAGAAACTGCGGTGACGCTGATCGAACAGCGTGGAACGAGACATCGTGACATATTTCAATGCAATTTTCTTCGAAGTCATTGAAAGGTGATCTCGTTTGCTAGAGATTGTTTCGATGGTTAGAGACGGAAGAAAGATTAGTAAGGACTAGAATCGTGGTTACCGTGCCCGGTATTGTGTTTGATCGATCAAATATTCTGCTTTGCAGGATTTGCGAAGGACTTGCTAAAACACGCCAGTTTTTAATAGATAAGTGCGATAGATCGATTTGATACGGAACGATTTAACAGGTAGATGATATTTTACAATTTGTTGTTTCATCTTCAAGATACGAACAAAATTTCGGATGTAAATCGCGTATGTTCGTTATTAGGCTACCGTTTGATGCAACACGGCAAACATTTAACGATAACTTTATTAAGAACGATCAAAGACAAAGCGTAAAAGGCTTTCTTCCGATCGACGAAATTCAGCTTGAACATTAGCGGAACAGGCTCATCGATTCGTCATACTACATCGTTCTTGGTAAGATTTAGATCCGTTTGGCGTGTATGAAGACCGATTACCGAGGAATTTATATCCGAGCCGGACCGATCGGCCGGTTACGACGCCATTAACGGAAGTATCGATATCGATTACGCTTGATTTACCGCGATTCCACCAGGTACCGCGTTAACCACGGTAAATTTCGATTCTTCCAATTACGACACGCGTCCATTATGGTGGGACTTGTCGATAGATACTTTCGTTGCTTTCTTTTTTCACCTCTGATGGAAAGAAACTGACGAATCGTCTCGCGATCGAAGATCGTTTTAACATTGGCACCATACATGCGATATTTTTATTAAGGATATTTGCTATTTGCATTCATTGGCTGTACTATTCAAATGTATTGGGTTGGCAACTAAATGATCGCGAATTTTGTCATTAGGTGGTAACGACAAAATCCTTAAGTTCAATCACTTAGTTGTCAATCTAATATTGAAACAGGCGTTAGGATACGCGATAAACGGCGTGATAAATATATTCTGATTAAAGTGTTAGGATTTTTGAGCAAATATTTGACATTTGCGTTAACAATTTCTTATTTGTACCGAGTAGTAAACGTGGCTTCGATTTGACACTGTAAACCTGTACGTATCAAAGTTATGTGTATGTATTGGAGAATTAAAAACCTACGAGTAATTATTTTATGGAAATTAAGCATCTCTGATTCATATTTATTCAAATGTACATTTATTAACATACCTATTTATGCGTATCTCATTCGTGCAAAAGTTTCATGAATTCAATACGCCCGTATTGAATTTATCGTACGCGTATATTTAATTACACACGTACAAATTATCGCCCTGTTCAATTTTAAATTTCAAGTAATTTATAAAATCTGAGAAAATAGAAACTTTATCTTGCTTCAAACGGACAAAGTAGAAAAAAATGAACAAATTATACGAAACTTCTATAAAACAATTAATACACACGATATTATCGAAACGATACAAATATCCAAATATTAAATAACGCATGTACGGAGCAGGAGTCAAAGTCTCATTGTCTTTTCGTGCGCGCGATGCTCGTTCGCTGTTTTATGATGCGATCACCGTGTACGTTTGCTGCGTATACGTGTATGTGTATGTTAGAGTGTGTCGATCAATGCCACTAAATATCTCGATACGTGGTTACGGGTACTAGCACAGGTGCGTCTTACGGCTACGAACTACGACTGGTGGCAAAAAATGAATCAGCGAATGTCAGTGATGTACGTTTCTTGGAGGCAGTGCTGTTAATCCGGTTTCAAGAAGCTCTCTTTTAGATACGTTTGCAATCGTATTTAAACGCTAAAACTACCAATGCTCGAAATAAGCGAACCGTAGTGTTTAATAAAAATATCGAATTTTATGGAATTTCGAATAAATGTAAATTTTATAGAATTCTCTAATACAATGTGAAAGAAACGCTCTAACAGAATTTTAAAGAATTTTTTGTCGCAGAAATTTTTAGGGATTTTTGCGCGATTTTGTTCTGTACTTTTGTTACCTGTAATTGCTTTCCCGTAATTTTTCTGTAGACGAAGACTACGTTTTTTCCTTTTGATTTTCTTGGTACAAGTTTCATACACTAGTCAGTGGTAGTTTTAGCGTTAATATACATATATGTACAGACGAAATGGAAAGCCGGTTAAAACGTTCAACCGTGAATGTTAACCCCCTGTAATACCAATGTAACTTACAAGTTACATAACCACGTGTCTACTTCGTTTAAAATTTCACTTTACTCGCTTGCTGTGTTATACCGTGGTATTTTATTGATAATATATCATATTATGCTAGCACCAAATTATCCATAAACAGATCTTTTCCCTTTCATAAAAGAACCCTTTTAGAGGGTCGAGGACGCGTTAAAACGCGTGTATCGTACGCGGAGATAGAGATAGATAGATAGATAGATAGATAGAGAGAGAGAGAGAGAGAGAGAGA